TCTGTACCTTTCAAAATGGTTTTATGCCGAACGAAGGGCAATAATTCTCGAGAAGTGCTTTCAAACCAACTTTGCTGTAGGTGAAAGCTGTTTATTTTATGTAAAATTGATTTTTTGCTTATATTTTGATTGAATCGAGTTCATAAAAAATGCTTCGAATTAAGTAATAGTGAAAAAAATTAAACTAAAGGTACTTATATAAGTCTTTGCTGTGTGTGTCACAGTGAGATATTTCAAAAATATACACTACTTGCTTAACTCCAGTAGAGTCTTTTCGTTTTAGTATTCGAGACATCTCAAATAAACTTATCGAATCCTACTTCCCCGAACTCCGCGCTTCGGAACAGCGGGTTCAGTTTCTCCCTGTTGAGTGGCGTAATTCCCTTCGTCTCGATGGAAACATTTTAGACTCCATCACCCTTGGCAATCTTGCTCGTTTGCGCACATTCCTTAATTGTACTTTTATGGATATAATGTATTACACCAGCCCTTTGTATCGATATGAAATCAACCAAAGTCTTCGAATAGAACTTAATCGACTCTATTGCCTATTCTGTGAGAGGCATCCCTACTTTGAGCTAAATGGAGGAAAAGTCTCAATCTTGGCACATTCTCTTGGATGTGTCATCTCTTACGATCTCATCACTGGGTGGATTGAACCGGTCCCTTATGATCAATGTTTGGAGCAAAGTAAGCGAATTAAATGCTCTTAGTAGGTATCTTGATGGTAATAATAATGGGTTTTGTTTCCTTTTAGTTCAAAATTCGTGTGAAGTCAATGAAAATGAAGATTCATCCGTTCTTTTGGCCAAACTTGAGGCTGCAAAAGAAGCGTAGGTGATAATACCTAATAAAGCATGGAAAGAGACTGGTGTTTGTAAATTTACCTATTCTTTTTTAGAGTGAAATGTCTTGAAACCCAACTTGAGAGGCGGAAAATGAATGCACTTACCAATGGAGCTTCGGATGATAGTCATTCCCTCATTTTCGCTTCTAGGGTGAGTTAAGAAATTCTCAATTTTAATACTTCACTAGGGAAAATCAATGCTAATTTACCTTATTGTATTTCATTAATGCAACGTATGTCATCCTTGATTTGACTGTAAGTAATGCTATAAATTATGGCATTTATCTTCTACTATGCTGCTGTGTGGATGAAACATGCAGCACCGTTGATCATTTGCTCTTTTGTTCAAACGAAACCCGATTAGTTCGTGGTGAATTAAATATTTAAATAACTTGAATTTGAAAATATGAGACAAATCCTCAATTAACAGTAAAGCTCGTAGAGGCATTAGCATGACACGTAAAAAAGTTGCCACAACTATCTAGAAGACCAACCGCGCGTGGTCTTGAGCCATTATGGGACAGGCCAATACTCCTACACTTTAAAACATCGAGACTAGCACATATTCGCGAGTGGAGGAAGTTTTCAAGTCACTAGTTAGCCGTATTACATTATTTCCAGTTTGGTTAAGTAATCGAGCACAAACAACTCCCATGAGAATAAATATTTAAATAAGAAATTGCAAATTACATTATATTAAAGTAATTATTTAAATTCTTGCGATCTTTTTGTTTTCTCAAATTGGCTTCCGATGGCACTCAAACAGTTGGCCATTAGGATTAAAAAGTTGTCCTCTTAGCCGTTTCCGTTTAAAGCTTGAAATCGATAACTTCTTGCCTATGTCCCTATTGTTCTCCTACGGACAAAAAGTAAACTTGTTAGTTTCTGGTTTAAATCCGGTTTTTGTCTATGTAGGCATTCTATGAAAAAAACTGCATCTGTTTTTCGTTTATTGCGCTTGTTGAGTACTGAGGTTTTGCTTGGCAATATGGTTGGGTGTTTAATTGTGTCGTATCGTTCTTCGCACTATGTCTTTCCAATTGGGTAAACGTATTATTTATTTGCGTCAAATGGCAGGCGTTTTGATAATTATCATTAGCCCTTTAGCTGACTTCGCAAATGGCAGGCGTTTTGATAATTATCATTAGCCCTTTAGCTGACTTTGAGCTTTACAGAGGGGAGAAACATCAAAGTGAGAAAAATTTGAGAGGAGGGACAGAAGAGCGATTCACAGATGTAACAGAGACAGACAGACAGACACAAAGGTAGAGAGAAGGTAAGATGAATAAAGTGGCGTGGTGTAATATGGCAGTTCGTTCAAATTGAGCAACAAGGTTGACATTGACTCCAGACCAGAGTGAATATGGAAAGACAAAAGCCAACATTCCTCATCATTTATGTTGTGAATAGGGGGTGTGCGATAGACTTACCTCCACGTGGTGCACCCTGGGCAACCTATACTCATACGGCAAACAAATCTATTAACTGGCAGTTGACTTCTGACTTCAAACTACCGTGACCTCACTGTATGTCATATTCGACCCCTTCCACACTACTCATCTAGCCTTTTCTCTGCTTTTGTGTCTGTCGGTCTCTTTTACATCTGTGAAACGCTCTTATTTTCTCATGTCGAATTTTCCCCACTTTGATGTTCCTCCCTTCTGTGAAGCCCGAAGTCAACTAAAGGGCTAATGATAACTATCAAAATGCCTGCCATTTGAAATAAATAAATGTTGTGAATAGAAAGGAAGCAGTGAGTACGTTGAGTATAACTGAATGTGCCTTTCATGCGTCTGGATGTCTTATCAGTCTAAGATTCATCCAAGTAAAGAAGTGGAGAATACACTTTCGTTTAGGTAGAGTGAAATTGCAAGCGGTAAAAAAACATTTTGAAGACTAATTAGAAGTGTAGGCTAAGTTATAAGTATTTGAAATCGTAATCGCTTTCCTTTACTAAAAGATACCCACGGCGTCAAAGTCACCAAGTTAGAATAACAGTTTTCTAAATCATCATTCTCCCAATCCTTTTTTTAAATTTACAAGAAAATTATAGCCAGATATTTATTTATTTTAAATGGCAGGTGTTTTAATAGTCATAATTAGTCTTTTATCCGTCTTCGGACTTCACAGAGGAGAAAAATTGGAGAAGGGGAAAAGAAGAGAGATTCACAGAGAGACACAAAGGTAGGGTGAGTACTGTGGAAGGGGCCGAATATGACATACAGTGGGTTCATGATAGTTTGAAGTCCGAAGTCAACTGCTGGTTAATAGACTTTTTTGCTGTATGAGTATACGTTGGCTAGGGTCCACCACGTGGAGGTAAGTCTATAGCACACCCCATAATCAGATATAATAAGTAGAGAAAGCATCCCTCTTGTGGATTTTACAAAGCACATTAATCTGTGTAAAGTGTAATGCGAATTGACAGGCAGATAGAAGGCTGGCAAGTCGGAGTTTAGGCAGAGATAGGATGAATATATGGCAGATTTGAATCGATAGGCAGCTTCAAAATCAAGTTGTATATGTTATATTGCTGCCGCAATCATAAAATATCGATGTTTAACGTGGATTTTCTTAAAAGTACTTCTACCAAAATTCAATTTTTTATGTTCCGGGTAAATTTTCTAAAAGAAGATAAATGTAAGCACTTAAGATAAAGCGCATGAAAAATGTCAGAATTAAGAAAGGGTAATGAAAAGCCTGACCAATAGTGGCGAACTAAATTAAGTTTTCTAAATCTGTAATTTTAGCATAAAGTCAAAATTTTGAAATAAAAAATCTTAAATCCCGTTAAAAAAATTCGCCCCCTATATTAATAAAACTGGTCCATGGCTAATTGAGACAAGGGGTTTCAATTTGAATTTAACTAGGATAAACAGCATTATCAACGTTTAGACCAGACCACGTGCCTTAATCGATTTTGGATATTTGGATATACAGATGAAAATAACTGAAAGTTTATACTACGATATGGCGCCATGCATTATTTCTTTCGTTTGTTCGCAAGATTCTTAAAATAGAATGAGTTAAAATATTTATTTATTCCAAACGGCAAGCATTTTAATAGTTATCATTAGCCCTTTAGTTGACTTTGGGCTTCACAGAAGGGAGGAACATCAAAGTGAGAAAAATTCGACATGAGAAAATAAGAGCGTTTCACAGATGTAAAAGAGACAGACAGACACAAAGGCAAAGAAAAGGCTAGATGA